TTAATGAGTAATTAATTACAGAAATGTCGTTTTGGGGTGAACTAACCCTTTTTAGTATTGCAGCGAATGCTTATTGTAAAGTGGTATATTTTCAGTAGTCTGCACGTGATCCTAAAGCTTCTGCTTGTGTTTTTCTGACTAATTTTTGTGCAGATGTTTTGTTGGAATCAACCCATCCACTGGTACCAAGACAGTCAAAAAAAAGTGGAAAGACCTCAGAGAAGAGGAACAACAATACAATCCTCATGTGTCTACTCTTCTCAGAAGGCTAATGGACTTTGAGTTGTTAAGCATGTAAGTTGTCAAATGTATATAAAAAAAAACTACAGGAGGAGATGTCTATACTTACACAAAATGTAAAAAAGTACTTTAAATTAAAATGGTTTAAATGTTTTTAGAGAGAATGTTGTCAATCACCATTGTTGTTTATCACAAACATTTATACCAAAAATAATTTAAAAAAAGGCAGAAATGTGAGTTTTAACAGGAGATGTGAGTTAAAGGGTTAGTTCACCCCAAAATGAAAATTCTGTCAGTAATTACTCTCCCTCATGTTGTTCCAACCCCGTAAGACTTTCGTTCATCTTCGGAACACAAATTAAGATATTTGTGATTAAATCTGAGAGCTGGATCCCTCCTCACACATGATCAGCGTTGGCCAATAGTGAGCCTGCGTGTGACGTACAACACAGAAGCGCTGCGCTGTTACACTACGTGAAATCTCGAGGTCCACAGAGAAGGAAATGAATAGTTGAAATAAAGTCGTTATTTTTGTTTGTTTTTGCGCACAAAAAGTATTCTCGTCGCTTGATAAACTTAAGGTTGAGCCACTGTAGTCACTCAGACTATTTTAACGATTTCTTTCATAACTTTTCTGGGCCGGCAAGTTACGATCCCTTAGAAACCTATGGAGAAGTGATCCAGCTCTCAGATTTAATCACAAATATCTTAATTTGTGTTCCAAAGATGAAGGAAAGTCTTACGGGGTTGGAACAACATGAGGGTGTGTAATTACTGACAGAATTTTCATTTTGGGGTGAACTATCCCTTTAACCATAATGCCATTCTGTTGGTTGAGCTTAAAGGAATAGTTCGCCCAAAAATGGAAATTCCGTCATCATTTACTCACCCCCATGTTGTTCCAAACCTGTATGAGATTCTTTCTTCTGCTGAACACAGAAGATATTTTAGATATATTGAAGAATGTTGGTAATCAACAGTTGATGGTAGCCATTTACTTTCAATTGTCTGGTTACCAAAATTCTTTGAAATATCATATTTTGTGTTCAACAGAAGAAAGAAACTCATACAGGTTTGGAACAAATTGAGGGTGAGTAAACACAATGATGACAGAATTTTCATTTTTGGATGAACTGTCCCTTTAACTTTTATTGAACCCAAAATCTTGCTTTTAAGTCTTACAAGTTATTTGTAGTTATTTTGTGACTGATTTTGAAAAGATTTTCTGTACTTGAAAAAGTAAAATTGTTGTTACCAGTCTTGCAGTTATTTGCTTAATATTTTAATAAATATTTTTCGACAACAGCTTTGACTTTGTGTTTGTTTTTTAAAATGTTTATTTTAATGCATTTACATCAATATAATAAAGTACAGTTTACTGTTAAAATGATTCTTTTCAGCTTTTTAAATGTTAAACTATTACAGCATCTTCTTGAATTTTGTGGGTATTTACAGGATTTTATGGCAACTTTATTGCCAGGTTAATACTGTACTTTAGTGAAATTACAAAAAATTGCTGTAAAATATATTTACAGGATTTTATTGGCAACTTTATTGCCAGGTAAATACTGTACTTTAGTGAAATTACAAAATATTGCTGTAAAATAAAATACAAGTTTAATTCAATGTTACTGTAAAAAAACTATAAATTACTGTATTTCATATACAACAATTAACTGTAAGTTGCTTTACAGTATTATACTGTAATCAATTTTACAGCAATTACCAACATTTTTACAGGACTTTATTGCCAACTTTTTTGCCAGTAAATTCCTGTAAATTCTACAGGAAATTTTTTACAGTGTAATCTGGATTACTGTCACATTTAGAGTTTGGTCATGTTTAGAGTTTGCTTTTGATCTCCTTCTCTGTTCTGTTCTTGTTCTGGTAATTGGGTTTCTCTGCCTGTTAGTCTCCTAGGATACAAATGGTTTGATTAAATTGTCACATGTGTTTCACGCTTCTTTGATTGGTTTGTTCTGTCTGTGAGTCTTTAGTTCTACGTCGTGTTAAGTTGGTTGTTCTCTTCCTGTTCTTGTGTGTTATGTGATGATTTGAGTTTGTTTGTGAATCTGCACTTCAGCTTCAGATGAAACCGATCATGTTTCATAACTTTCATCTCTGCTGCAACCAAAACGTGACAATTACGTGATTAGAGTCCAAACATTGCATATTGAATCAGCTCAACACATTAATTATTATTGGAATTATCACTCAGTGAGTCATTTAACAATGCAATACTGTCTTTTGAAGGCTTTTTTTCTTCTTTCAAGCACATTTTTTTATTATAATTTTTCATATTTAAAGTTTTTTAGCTTTTAGCTTTTCCGTGGCAACCCCATGCAGTTTCTACAAACCCCAGTCTGGGAAACCCTGACGTAATGTAATGTTTTAGGCACTTTTCTTTCTCTTTGTATTTTTATATCAATATGGTGCAATATTATCCTATTCAATTCAATGTGATAAATGAGGTAGGTCAAAAGTAATCTAAAGTAGTCTGATTATATTACCTAAAAAGTGTAATGTAATGGATTATGTATTAACTTTTTGTAAACTAAGACATTTTTTTTTAAAGAAGAAGAGTGACATAGAATACACTTGGAAAGAGGTGAGTATGAAATATCCACATAAAAAAGCTCAGAAGGTAAAGATATATGAATCTGCATCAGTCAGGATGAGTCAATGAACTGTAATTCTGGCCGCAAACATGGTGTCCATATGGCTTATGATGTCCCAGTATCCACAACCAAATAATCTGTCTTAAATTAATAAGGCTCAGTGCTTACAGTGATCAGATTAATTCCGCCAGCGTTTTCTAAACCTGTATTAATCCCTGTAATCCTCCGCAGTTTCACTGCCAAGTGCTTTAATCCTTCAGCCACCAAGTGAGGACAATTCAAAAGTAGCCATGAAGACATAACATTCGGTTCTGTCCATCATTACAACTTTCATGCTTTCACCTCTGTGTAAACAGGAACAAATACCTAATCAAGTTTACACATCCCAAAGGTTTAAGCTAATCAAGAGAAGTGTGTTGTTGAGATATCACTATAACACCTGGCGCCTCATGCGTGCATCCTGCAAAGTTCACCACACAAATAACGTGAAGTACACTAGAGGTGAGTAATAATTACCAATGCATGTTAAAAAGGATACTACTGAGGTGAGCATGCATGCGGTTAATGTGAGAATTATACCTAATATCCTGATCAAAACCCAAAGATGAAATAATAGACATACAACATTTCCATCACATTTCTTTACAAAACAGAACATTTATTTAGAGAAATCAGTGCACTATCAAAAAAGGACCATAAAATAATGCTTTTTAAAGACTATTTTAATAGCATGTAAAATACTGTACCTGTATCATGTTCTGTACCACTGTCACCTTCTTGTAAATCAGTAAATCTGCCAGTAGATGGAGCTCTTCTAAGAGACTGTTCCCAGAGCAGATCTGACCAGGTGTTGCATTTATCACTGGCAGTTGAATGGATTTTTGTAAACACTGTTTCTATCAAGTCTAAAAAAAGGGTTGAGGACCAAAAAGTAAAAAAAAAGGCTTTCCAATAAAAATGTAATAAAAATAATTTAGAAAGAATATTTAAAATATGAATGTTGGTTATTATCATCTGCACCACACTGAAAAAAAAATTTAAAATTTACTTTTTAATTTTTTTTGTACATTTTTTTTTGCATAGGCGATTTTATTTTTGCATATTTGCATACACATATTTTTTTAAAGTAAGTTTCACACATGGAATTAAGTAAAATCTACTTAACTAGGTTAAGTAAAATTAAGTACATTTAACTTCGCAGATAAAAGTTTGTTAAGTAATTCTTGGCTTAATTCAGTGTAATATTGTTTGAGTAAAATGTACTTGAAACAGAGTATTGCAAAGTAAACTTCAATATATGTTTTAAAGTGTATGCTTTATTTAGAACATCTAAGTAAATATAGCCTATTGTGTTGTTGACACATAAATAATACATAATAATACAGCTGGAAAACGGTGAAAATGCAACCTTATTAATTATTCATGCCCCAGTGCATTATGGGGACTCCAGTATCAGAAAGTTTATTAGGTTAATTTTAAAACGTTTATATTTACACTTTAATTCCTACAAGCTTAAATTGAGTACTAATATAGAATTTACTTTTTGACGTTTTTTTATTCTTGCCTGAACTAACTTATTCAGGTAGAAATTACATTAGAATTTGTATCAGTGGAGTTACAGTTTCATATAGTATTTGGAAGCCTGTAATAAATTATTTCAGCTGGCAAACATCATATATGACAAGCCTGTAAGTGAACGCAACATAACTTCTGTCATTAACTAACAAATTAAAAAATATTAGTTTGTGACATATTGATTGTGTGTTTTTTAACTCAAGAACTTGAGCGTTTTCCAACTGGATTCCTTAATGTTTGTTCCACCAGAGATGTTTAACAAATCATTTTAAGTTGATACATTTAAGGTAGGCTAAGTCTGAAATTATGTTTTAAAAGTATATATTGAAAACAAAAAGGTTCTTTAAAAAAAACACCTGATCAATGTTTAGGTGGATCTTTTGTGTGGTAGGCTATTTAAAAAATATATTTTAAATATCTTAATATGGATTTGAATTTGAAATAAATCCTTAAATTGTTCAAATTAGCCTATAAAGAGACTGAGGGGAAAATAAAAAACCCATTCCAGGCTTTTGTAATGGCCATGTCAAATGAATCCTGATCCCTTTCAGTTCCGGTTCCGGTTTTTCCAGGTTCCTATCTGAATTCCTGCTGCTCTCTTTCTCTCTCTCTCTCTGAGATCAGTGAAAAAATATCTCCAACCGTCCGGACTCTCTCTCTCTCCCTTCACCTTTACACATTATGTCTGCACTGACGCCTCTCATTTCGCTATTCTCCAAATCGGCTTTGGTTTAAATCCCGCAAATATGGATTGACTTTGATTTTACTCGTCGGTCGCCTGTTGAAGTTTTGAAGCGGCGGATCGTGTCTCTGCTCAACGAGCTTCATGTTTCCTTTGGCAACTTTCGGAAGTAACTCGTTCCGGATGCGTTGTTCACACTATTGAACTGATCCGTGCGCGCGATCAGGGGGATTTTAAATCGGGATCGTGTCCGAGGCTTTCCACACTTCTTTTATTCGTGTTTAAAGTGATGGCGGAGCGGGGAGCCCGGCTGCTCCTCTCTCTTTTCTGCCTCACGATCACACTTTCACATGCTGAAAAAGGTAAGTCTGAGATTAAAGAGCATTAAAACTTTCTGCGGTGCGACCCGCTGCCTGTTTCTCTTCAGTGTGAAATGAGTGTGTGACTATTTTCATCTGAACTAACTTGATTTCATCCAGTTCATCGAACACACACCGTTCAGACAGCCTCATAAATCAAAACATATGCGAAATATCTCTCATATTTGCTCTGAAAAGGCTTATTCACTGCAAAGGTGTGTTCTGCATTAACACATTTTCACCTGAATGGAAAACCTCATTCCTTCGTCAAATGGAAGCAAGGAAATGAGCCTAAATCTTAATTATCAAGTCTGTGGAAATCAGTGTTTTTTCCACGCACTGTTGGAGTATCATATGGCTTAGACACTGTCTCTGTAAGAAATAGATCTTTTGCATCATAATCCTAGATATTTTTTCCTGTAAAGTTGCCTGAAGGCGAATAGTGCAGTTGTTTTTGACCGCACACTTGAAAGAAAAGAGATAATGAATTTTATAATATCTACCATGTTTATTTTGGTGTGTGTAGAATTCTGGGTTGAACACATGAAAATTAATTACTTTCGCCTCCTTGAAACCAAGCAGAAAACATACCTAGGACAAAAAAAATATTGCTTATGAATATAATGCTGTCTTTACCCAACTGAAGCGGCACTGTATAACCAGAAAAGATGCCTTAATGCTGCACAGAGGTGGCATAAATGCATTTACACTGACATTGCAATATCTGTAATATTCATATGAAACTATTTTTAAAATAGGAATATGAATATAGATAGGCTACATAAATACTTAACATGATGAAAATTTCAAAGTTTAAGATTGCACTTCACTTACACAGAGCCAAAGCAGCATCAGAGGTTGCTTTGATGCAGGGTCACAGCTACCTTTTTTTTTTTTTTTTGGTAAGGTTTTATTTGCCATTGCATTGAATTCTTGCACATAATATTGAGCCGGATATGGAATACAGTGCACAGAAAATGGAGCTGTGTAAATATGCCTTTAGAGAAATGGGTATTTTTGCTTCAGCATAGAAACTGAATCTTTTGTTAGTTTATTAATCATCTTTGTTCATGAGGTGCACATTTAATTTGCACGATCATGCATCATTTAACTCCTTCATTGGTATTGGCAACATGTTTTCACTAGTTTGTGCTTGTTTATTAGGCTCACGTACGATGAAAGCGGGCCGTAGTGGAGTTTGCGGCTGGGCTGTCTTGCGTGCAGAGGCTGATGAAAGCTGCTCTGCTGCATGAAAAGCAATGTGCTGTGGTGAAAAATCACAGGCTTTGCTGGAGATCAGTACAAAAGAGAGGAATGGGGGGCTGGGTGGAACGGGCAGACTCTGTCTGGAAAGTAATAAAACCAGGAGATTAAGGGGGGAACAGGGAGTTCCTTTGGGAGTTTTGATTGATTCCAGAGAATTGGACCTACATGCGGAGAGTGAGTTTCAAGTTACTAATTGTGGGGTCCCCATCTGAAAATATGTGTTTATTTGAAACACGTTTTTTGAGGTCCTGAAGCACACAAATGCGAACCATAAGCAGTTTCGTGAAGATTGTCACCTACATCCCGCCGATAACAGCATTCCAACTTTTCGTTGTTCTGGAAAGGATATGGGCATGTCTTGAAGTTGTTGTTTTTTTGGGGGGGGTGGGGGGGAAGTTGTCATTGCATCCAATTTGCATCCCATCTTATCTGCATAATCCTGCTGGAAGAGAACTGTGCTGATGGCTTCCCTGCGGACAATGTAAACAGCATGCTAAACTGTATAAACACCCTCACTACCTTGTCTGCAACCACTCAGCGATGTAAGAGATCTGCTTCCTTCGTATCGCACTACATTGCACAGACCTAAGCAAGACCTGAACAAAAGGACAGTGTTGTACTAACATGGATAGCGTCGTCCTCCCCCCCCCCCCTGTTCTGTAGGCTAGTACCTGTTTATTAAGTTAAGTTAGGCCTGTTTTCACAGACAGGATTAGGCATTAGTTCAATTAAGACATTTAAGTAGCTTTAAAAAAAAAACATTACTGGTGCGCTTGAGACAAAACAATGGCACAGACGGGATTTTTTTAACTTTGTCGGCTGAAGACCCAAGTTTGTTTTGAAGAGGAAAAACGTCCCAAGCACAATGTTCTCTCACCATTCCTGAACACAAACTGAGACACTGAGTTCGTGTTCAGGAAGTTTAATTACCCAAATTAATTTACCCAAACTTAATTTTCAAATTTCGGCTAAATGAAACCTTTCGGTTTCTGTTAAAAACGTAGTATTGGTGCATAACTATTACAATAAAGGTACTAAGGCAAATTGTATGCTAACAAAGTGCTTTTTTGCATGGGCTGTGTTGTATTTTTGCTTATTTACAGTATCTGGAGAGAGATATTTTAATCATAGATACATGGATGCCCTTTTTTTTGTGGAAATATTCCATCAGCACAATAGCTTGTTTTGGTCATATAGCTGTCCATTGGATTATAATCATTACCCAAAGTCATCATTACTGTTGCAGCTGCATGTTTTCAGATGTCAGGGAACAAAGAGGATCAATATCACAGTAACAAATTAAGTATTGTCAGCAATTGAATCTCGCTGGAAATAGGGCGTCACAATAAGCTCCAGCTGAGAGATCTTGCCTTCGATGTTCTTTATTCATTTAGATGGACAATGGGCCCTTGGCTAATCGCCTAATGTGCAAATGAAGGCTTGATAAAATGGATTATGATTGATGGAGTTATTTGTTTATTGCACTAGCTGCAAAAGTGCTGGTTAATAATTTGACCTCATATTTGTCAACATTTGATTTGGGTTTCTTTGTGGGAGAATCACAGCCTTTCAGTGTCCATGTAATAAGCGATATTGGTATGTTTGGAATGGCATACTACTTAGTATTTCATATTACATATTGCTTTGCATGGAATGGATGATACTTTTGCCAAAATAAGGAGGCTGCATAATATTATACCAGAATGCAATGCACTCTTTATGACCTTCCATTTAGAAAGCAAAAAAAAAATCAGGCAATATCGTCTCTTGTTTCTTGACTCATCATTAGATCAGACAGTGAAATGACTAAAAATTGAAGTCTAAAATAGGCATATTTTGTTTCTGACGACTGAAAGTCACATAGTGAGATCATCTGGCAACTATTTAGCATGCTACGGTTTGAAATGTTCAGTGTTGCATGCCGTTTCAATTATTGTTTAAAAAAAATAGTACAGTATGTAAGCTGAAGTATTCCATTCCCAGCTGGGCTTGATTGGCTGTGTCAGGAATCCCTAACGTCAGCACAGGCTATTCATCAGCATTTCTTTTTTTGGTGGCCTCTAAATTGAGGTATGAATGGTTAGCGCTACTTGTGAAAATTTGAGTCCATTTATTGAAATGGGGAGCTTCTGCTGTATGAGATTTCTGGCCAACCCTGCATGGTCAATTCTGCTCCATTACCATCAGTAGTGTATCATTATGTTACTGAGTGCACTATTTTAGTGTAGCATTTGAGAAAATGACCAGTCTACGCAAATACACACGAGGTAGCGGATGGCTTTTTGTTGTTGTTGAAGGAATTCCGATGAAATGGTCATACCTAAGGAATGTTTGCTGGTCAACACCCTCGTTTGGGATCTGAGTGGTTGCCGTTCCCAGTGGATCTCTGTTTGCGGGCAAATTCTCTTGCCAGCCTCAACAGCTGGAGAAGATTATGATGCATGTGCGATATGAATGCTCGTGAAGTGAAGCAAAATCCAAATCGAGCTTCTGATAAGCCATTTCGTAGTGTCTCCCTCTTGGTGTTATTGTTTTGGCCCTAGCTAATCTAGAATTATGCTAATAATAAATGGTGTTTAAATAGCTCCAAACAAACAGCACTATTAATATTTCTTATACTTGAACAATCCCCTCGTTTTAAGCATCATTTCAACTTTAAATTGCTTTAAAGTTATTCTATAGACTCAAATCATAATCCAGTATATCAACTGATATATGCAACAATTATGCATGCTCATATTTTTACATTACCTTTGCATCTATATTATCTTTTAAAACACAAAAAATGTAATAACACAGTTTTTAACTGATCTCGAAATGAATATCCATTTGTGATGCCTAAATTTACTACATTTTATTTCTAGTGTTTTTATGTTTTATTATTATTAATATTTCCCTAACTCTCAAAATACTTGGTTTGAGGTGGGCAAACTTAAATTAAACAAATTAGTACGAACTACTTTTATGAGTATGTACTTTTGAGTTCACATTTTAAGTGATCTGAAATTTTACTAATTTTTGAGTTAATTGAAAAGGGAGAGTAAATGCTTTTGCAAGCTACAATCTTTGGAGAAAAAAACACGACTTTCTCAGCTTTTTCTTTAAAATGTTTTTATGAAGCTTACCCACATTTAAGTGTTGTTAAAAAAAGAATGCATGAAGCTATTTATTTATTTATTTATTTTAAAGCAGAGGTTCTTTTCTTTCTTTTGATATGTTTGTTCAGATATACAACAAAATATTCTGGGGGCCATGAACATTTTCAGAAAATGATTAAAAATGCTGGCGGTGGCTGTCAACTTTTTTTTCTAAAATGCTGGCGGTAAAAGAGTTAATATCAGTGGATCGCTTAACTCAAAGCGATCCACTGATATTCCCAGTGGATCGCTTCCCGAGTCAATCCCGAGTCAAATGTAGGGCCCGAAATCTTATAGTCATGATGGTGAACCATTAAGTGACCCAGAATGCAACTTTTCACAATTCTGTTTGGCATATTTCACAGTCATTACCATACCACTGATACCAAATGCTGACCTAGAGCAAATATGAGCTCTCGATTGGGGGAAACCATTTTTTTTCCCATGTGGAAAACTGCATGTGGCTCTGATCACTGCTCAGTCCAACTGAAACCCATGTTCTGCTGACCCAAATTGTTCAAATGTTAAGCTTTCGTTCTTCTTCCTGAACATGCACTGCCATGTTTATTAGTGTTGTTCTCTCCCTATCTTTCTTTGCTG